CATTATATTATAATTATATATATTATATTATAGTATAATATAATCGTAATTTTTAATTATTTCAGTTATTATTTTAATATTATTATTATATTCTATATCATAATTATATTATATATTATATAATTATAGTGTTTTGTATTATATTAAATATAATAATAAAAATATATTATATTGTAATTATATATATTATATTATAGTATAATATAATATAGTCGTAATTTTTGTAATTCAATCTCATAATTTACCAAGTGTTATTATAGTGATTTTGGAACCAGCACAGCTATTATAATTATAGTTTACCAAACACTCAGCTGTTTTTTTGTAATAGCTGTTTTTTCTTTTAGCACAGCTAAAAAATTTTTTTTCAAAATCTATAGCAATACAAACTAAGCCTCAGTCTACTAAAAAGTCAACTCAATGGAATGCTATGAAGGAAGAGTTGCAATCAATGAGACGTAATGAAGTTTGGGAACTTGTAGAATTGCCTCAAGGATCTACAACTATTGACTGCAACTGGGTTTTCAAAACCAAACGAGATTCTAATGACAATATTGAAATTGAGGCTAGACTAGTTGCAAATGGATACACTCAAAAAGAAGGAATAGATTACAAAGAAACATTTTCTCTTGTTTCTAAGAAAGATTCCTTTAGAATAATTATGGCCTTAGTAGCTCATTATGATTTTGTTGCATCAAATGGACGTTAAAACCGCTTTCCTAAATGGTGATTTACATGAAGTAGTCCATTTGGACCAACCAGAAGGGTTTCACAACAATACGAAGGGAAATATGGTTTGTTGACTTAAGAGTCCATTTATGGTCTAAAGCAGACATCTCGATAATGTTATCTTAAGTTCCATGAAGTTCTCATTATTTTTGGTTTTAGAGAGAACTTATTGGATTAGTGTATATGCCTTAAGATCAGTGGAAGTAAAATTGGTATTATAGTTTTGTATGTTGGTGATATATTGCTTGCTAGCGATAATTTAAGAATGATTCATGAGACCAAACAATTCCTTTCTAGGAATTTTGATATGAAAGATCTTGATGCAGCCACTTATGTTCTAGGCATTGAAATACATTGAGATAAATCTCATGGTATTTTGGGATTACCCCGAAAGGCTTATATTGACAAGATTCTTGAAAGATCCAACATGCAAATTGTTCAAGCAGTGTTGCCCCTATTGTTAAAGGTGACAAATTTAGCAAAACAATGCCCTAAAAATGATCTTGAAAAAAAAGAAATGGAGAAAATTCCTTATACTTCTGCAATAGGGAGTATTATGTATGCTCAAGTTTGTTTCCGTCCTGACATAGCATATGCAGTGAGAATGCTTGGTTGAGATCAAAGCAATCCTGGCATTGAACATTGGAAGGCAGTTAAGAAAGTAATGCGCTATTTGCAAGGCACCAAAGAGTACATGCTCTCGTACCGAAGATCGAAAAATTTAGAGATTATAGACTATACTAGTTGTAAGGATACTAGAAAATCTACCTCTCTGAATATCTTTTTATGCTAGCTGGTGGGCCTATTTCTTGGAAGTCACAAACAGTCACTCGTTGCGTCTTCTACTATGGAGGCAGAATTCGTAGCATGTTAGGATGCAACTAGTCATGCTATATGGTTGAAGAATTTCACTTTGGGATAAAGAACCCACTAAAGGTATACTGTGATAATGATGTTGCTGTGCGATTCTCTAAGAATAACAAAATAACTGGAGGATCATAGCACATTGATATCAAGTATTTAGTGATACGAGAGAGAGTTCAAAGCGGAATTTATTATTATAATTATTGAAGTACATATCGGAACTACAAACATGTAAGCAGACCCGTTGACGATTATTATTGAAGTACATATCGGAACTACAAACATGTTAGCAGACCCGTTGACTAAAGGGCTTCCGCCTAAGCTTTTTACGGACCTTGTTGCGCGCATGGGGTTAATGCAAAGCCTAACATGTTTGTTTGAATAAGATTGTATATTTTTGTGATCACCTTATGAAATAAATAAAGTTATTCTGATATGTTGAAGCTTATTTTATTTTGATACATTAAATATGTGCACAGTATTCTAATGAATAAAATACATAAGATCCCTAAGAATGAATTAACATTGATCACCATTATTATGTATTGTCATTCAAAGCTCATTTGATTCAAGTTATTACAGTTACTAAGGCCTCGTTCATTTCACCGATTCGAGTTTTCAGTTTTAAGTTTTTACAGTAAAAAGCTTTCAAAAAATATCACATCTAACTTTTTCTGCTACAGTGAAAAATTCTCAAAAAATGTCACATCTCAGCTCGAATTGAAAACTCGAATCCGCGAAATCACATCTAACTTTTTCTGTTACAGTGAAAAGTTATCAAAAAATGTCACATCTAAGCTCGAATTGAAAACTCGAATCCGCGAAGTGAACGATGCCTAATACTATAACCTTTGAGAAAGTCTTGTACCGTTGAGTGATACAATGATTTCAAAGATTTGGTAATAATGGCTTTATTGAACGGAATCTAAAGAACGTGAGGATGCAAACTTTCCGTGAGTTTTTTAAGTGTTTATGATCTATGTAATTATGCAGGCTAAGTGGGAGATTGTTGGAAGTTTCTTTAACTTAATGTGGCCTTGGTATTGATATTTCATTAATGAAAATACTAGTTTAACTCATGGAAATTAATTAAGTACTATTGAAGTCATTTAAAGGTGAACTGATTGACTTAAAGTGCATCTAATTTGGGAGTTTTAAATATGTATAGAACCCTAACGTAAAGTTCATATCGAATTCTTTTTGCGACCTTCTCTAAAGCCTCTTAAGTGAGGCATTAACTCAAGTGAATTAAGAAGATAAGTTATGAGAGTATTTGATAAGAAGACTCAAACTAAAGTACTATTTCCCTATGAATAGATCATGGTCCCAACTCACATTCTCATCTTTTTTTAATTAAGTCTTGTTATACACCACAAATAGTTACTCATCAACTATAATGAGAATAGTGAGTTGAAGACTCTTGATCATCCCACCTAGTATAAAGTCTTTGTAACATTATTGCTTCCTCAATATGGATCAAGGTATGATATATCGTACTATATTATTTTGTTTTCACGCATTCAAAATTATTATCCTGAAATTATGTTTTATTATTATTGTTATAATTTCTAACAAATCAAGTAAAACATAATGGGGATATCAAGACAATATATCGTTAAGAGTTTGGATGGTTTTGGTTTGTGCATATTACCTGAATGCTTGGGAAGACAAGGTGATTCAGCGGCATTTGGGTGATTAAGTTGCTCTCCGCATATTTGGCATACCAAAGTTGGACCTTCATGATCCTTCCTTGAATGCTGATCAGAAAATGATCTTCTTTGGACCGAACCATCATGAAACTTCCTTGAGGGATCAGATAGTGATCTTTGGAGCTCATAACGGGGTTCTAAATTATGGCCTTCATGTTCAAGAAGTCCCTTAACCTTCCGACCACTACTTTCTTTTGATGAAGAAGTACAAGAACCATTAACCTTGGAACCACTACTAGATGGCCTTTCTCCCTCGTGTATCTTGCTTCCGGGAATGACATCTTTGAGATGTGATAGACATCCGAAAGAGGCAGATCTCTCCGCCTCCAGTATTGGTTTCCTCATCTTTAGCGAATTCACTCTACGACTGACCGCAGAGTTGACTGAATCTGATGAATTAGGTTTGCAGATCAGTGATTTTAAGAGAGCACTCAACCAGAAGGTAGGCATTTCTTCTTGTTCTATTCTCCCTTTTCCTCTGTTGTCTCCCCTTGTTATTGTTTAAATATACAAAGTTCTAGTTGTTCATACTTCATACACCGTTGGGATGGGAAAGGCAAATTAAAAAAAATAATAAAAAAAAAGACCTAATGGAATCAAATTTCTTCGGATATATTCATTGTTCGGGTAATACATTGTCCATTTTTGGTAAGTTCATTATGATCTTACCACTTCTAGTGGTCAAACTTCCCAACTTTGGAATACAAAAAATATGGTAATAGTAAATACGTTAAAAGATCAGAAAATATACTCTTTCCTCAGTTTGGAATAATGTTAACTCACTTTACGTATTAAAGTTAGGCTGATCTCGTAGACTAATGCCAGTTTTCTACAGTGTAGCAAATTTTATTTTTAGACATCTATTTTATTAATATTAATGAAACAAGCAGGGAAAAAATGAAGAGCATAGGAAACTACAAACTCGGAAGTAAAGATACTTGCAAACTTTATTGTAAATATCAAACGATAATTCCATTGAACTCTTTTTCAACATGTTTCCACTAATTGATTTAACAGAAGATTCAGCAATCCCACAACATTAAATAGTATTTTAACAGTACAACAAAGCCTAACCAGATCCCGCAAGTAGCATATAATCTGTACCGACCATTTTCCATTTTCGTTTGTTGGAAGGAAAGTGATGACCATTTTAGAACCGAAAGTATGATGAAGCAACAACTGATGAATGATTTTTGCCCAAGTTTCTTCCCCGGACGCACTCCAGATCCATGACATGAGAGTGGCCAACAAAGAGATTCACCTGCACAAACAGGGGAACTTATGAAATGCAGTTGAATATTCAAAATGAAATAAAATAAAGAAGAGAAACAGTAAATTAGCAGCATACCCTCGGGCCATATTGATTGATGAACCACTCAGAGGTCCTAGGGTTTGAAGCTTCAAACATGGTCCTCTCAAGACCAAGACGCCCAATGATTTTCGCAATTATGTCCGCACGTACAGAATCAACATGGTTACAGATATCGTCTGCATCAATCATTATCATGTCTGCCCCAGCTTCCAAGCATCTCTCGGCCCTTCTAATCAAGAGATCAACGTCTTCAACAAATTCTGTGAGAAAAGAAATAAAGCTCACATAATTAATCGCATTCTCTATTTTTGTGGTGGGCGCAGAATTTACTAGGATTCTTCTCATAATGTGTTCAAGGTGCAGCATTTCGCAATACAAGTCCCTTGTTCTGAAGCTCTATAATACTCCAATAACTTTCATGTCTATTTCCCAGTTACTATAGCCATCAATTAAAAAGCTTAAGCAACTTCAGAAAGAAATATCATCGGCTACAAGAAAAAACATCAAAGTCTGAAAAAGTTTTTTAGTTTAACAAACTTACTAGCCAAGAACCCATAGAAGTTCAAACTCCATTAGGGAGAAATGGATATACATACCAGAATAAGTAGTAGTCTTAAAGAGATTAATAACACACAAGATGTAACAGCTATCACTCAGAGAACATTAGAAAATTAGGCTCATTTTAGAGGCCAACTATTGAAAATTTTCTGGATAAAGTCATTATGTATCAAAGAAAAACAAAGGTCTCCGTCTTTGGCCCTTTCAGTAGTTTACAGAAATTTCATTGTCTTTAAGAGTTACAACGTAATTATCATAACTCTTTTAGACACAGTTAGCACCTAATTTAGGTACCATAACATTTTTTCTCCCATGAACTCAGAATAGAATTGGTGCCAATGTGCTACCCTTTACACCAATGCCAAACTTGTTTGTTCGCCACAAACACATCACCAACTAGACCTAGAAGAAATAAAGAAGTAAAAGGGATCGAGTCATTCCAATTTACTCCTTTAAAGTAGATTCGTTCAGTCATTGATAAAGAGAATATTCGAATATGTTTCCTTCATTTTTTCAGTCCAGTGGCGACGAACAACCCATAAGCACCACCACAAAAACCTATCTTTCTCTCTAAAAGAATGCCACTCCCTAGTACACATCCTTTGGACACCGAACGAAGCTTTTTAAAACTCAAAGTTATTAAATGCAGGGAGTTATGGTTATTTCATAAAAACTAAAGCATATCTCAACACAGTAGAATGCAAAGAAAAGAAAGTCACCATAATAGAATGCCAGTGACACTTTGCGAAAACACTAAAACCACACATACCAGAAGAGCGAGGAGTCGGAACAATATAAGCTCCAAAAGCTCTATCACCACCAACAGGAAGATCAGACTTGTTGAATTTCACAGCAAACAGGGGTTTAACTTTCAAACCACCACTCTTAATCAAACGCACAAATCTCAAAAGACTCTCTTCAGGAAGTTCAAGCGATCCCACATTCACCTCAACTGTGTCAAAACCCAATTGCTTGCACTCCTAGAAAAATATTAAACAAAATTAAAAATCATAACATTCCTAGCAAGTAAAAAACATGAACTGCCAATTATAGCAACCAACATGAGAATTACCTCAACATATTGTTTGAAGGCTGATGGACCTTGGCGAAGAATGTGCTCAGCCCAATCACCAGTACTAACATAGACATCATGTTGATGAGCTATGTCAATTACTTTTTTGATGAAAGACTTCGGCATCAAGCTGTGGGACCCCCCGGAGAACTTCAACCCATCAACAAACTCTCCCATTGACTCAAATATGTCCTGAAATCGCAACTCCAAATTAGCGTTATTCGAAACAGAATGTGAGCTTTGAACTCATTATGGAGCATAATTAAGCCCTAGAACATTATCCAAACCAGACAGATTCGAAACAAGAAAAATTCTGGAACCAAATGGCAAGATTTTCATCGGGAAATGAGAATGATTGAAGTTAAAAAGATACCTGAAGAAGATTTTGGCTAAGGTGGGTGTAGTAAGGGCCTCGCATCTCGGTGACGCCGTAGCGGCGGGGCTTTTCTGGTCGGTCCTCATACTCGTCAAACTTCTTCCACCTGTACGCCGACATTTTTCGCCTCGGAATTCGAAAACAGTGCACAGGGAAACTGATCGGAGTAAGATCAAGAGGCGAGGGAAATTTCAAGAAGATTTGATTGAGCTTCTTTTTTTTTGTCTTGTTTTTCTGAGTGTGTGTATTTGGAAGTTGATGGAAGGTTGGAGTTTTTACTAGAAAGGTACATTCAACTAATCAATAATCATGATGATGATCTATTCTTCTCCTTACAGGGACTATTATAATTAACGTAGTCAGGTAAAAACTGCCACCTGTCTGATAAAAATAAAAATTAAAATTAAAATGAAGAAGAAAAAATAAATTCAAGAGATTTTCTAAAATGAAAATTATGTTAACTTTCACTAACACGGTGTTAGCGAGTAGCTTTTTATTATTATTATTTTACTTTTCTTTTATTTTTCATTTCTGATTTTTACAGACTTGCGTACGATCAGTGAGTTGCACTTCGTTTTTAAAGGATTAAGCCAAAACGACATATTCTTTACTGTGTAATTTTTCTGTCGTTTAATTAGGAAAACAACACACCGTTTTGAAAAGTGATAAATAGCTTTTCGTTTAAGAGTTTCCAGCTCTTTAACAAAAGAGAACTTGCATGTCATTTACTTTTTATTATTTCTCCGTCGCTTAGTAAAACCACATGAAATGACTATAGATACCGTATGTTTTTGCTGAAATTTGGGAACTGTCTTTCAAAGTATAAGTTCGTAATCGTTAATTTATTTAAAGGACATCTCGTTTATTTCAAACCTTGCGGGCTTAAAGAAATTAAACCACATGTGGTTGGCATTGTAATTTTACTGTCGTTAAATTATTAACTGTTGGTTTTATGTCCATAAATTAAATAAAATGTAAATATTTTGTTGATTATCAATGAAATAGATATTTTTTTAATATTATTTTATATACATGTAATGTTTCATAAATATCAAAATCTCTAGATTATTTTAGATGTAACTTTAAACATGGTATACAAGTGTTATATGCAAAGTATAATATTTGAAGTAAAATAATCTAAACTTATCCGTAATTATAAATTAAAGTTTGGATCTTTAATTTAAAATTATTGATGCGGTTCATTACATTCTGAATGAAATAATTTTATCCTAGATTGTTAATAATGAGATTATTGGAATGAAAGCATTTTATGCAATATGATTACATAGGACCGGAATGCGATTAATTATGAATCTCTAATAAATTTTGTTATTAAATAGAGTATTCAATGTTAATCAATGATGGTCATATATGAATTAATCTTAATTATGAGTAATTAATATACTCCTATTTATGATATTATGTTCTTTTATTATTGAGTAATGTCAAAGTCTTGGTATATTGGGAGCATAGTAAAATAAATAGCCGGGAAGATTAATTTACAAGATGAAATCCATTCCTTCATAATGAAGTAAATGGACGGTTCTCATAAGTGTTGATTCGAGGCTTGAATAATAAAAGCGCTCAATTTTATGATTGGATCATAAAATATATTATTCATTAGAGGATCAATGGTACTTATAGATAAACATATAATTAAATAGGTCAACGAAAAATACCTAGATTTAATTATAAACCGTTTATAGAGGATTAATTCGTATGTAGTGACTATATCAATGGACAACACAAATTCCGGGAACATAATTGTTTTATAATTTTAAGAGTGTACTTCCAAATTTATAGTGGAGTAATTTGGAATTAATAATTTTGATATATTAATTAAGGTGTTAATTAATTGTCAAAATTATTCAAACTTAAAATTATAATGTCCATAATTCCTCTCAACGGCTCTATAAAATTGATGTGAACTATATATATATAAATATATATATATATCTTATTGGGTTATGATTATTAATGTAGAATTGAGAATTCGAAATACACATATTAATTAATGTGATTAATTAATGTTAAAATTATTTTAAAATTATTTTAAATTAATATGGATGAAACTAGTCACTTTTATAGAAAGAGAGAAATTTTTTTACATTTATAGGGCTTGTTCGGTTGCATTTTTTAGTTATAGTGGCCTGAGTGTAGATTTTGAGTTGAATTTGAGTTATAATTTAAGTTGAAGTTGTAACTTGAGTTTGTGCTTGGATGTGCACATTTGAATTATGATTTGAATTGAGAATCTATTTGAGTTTGTGTTTGAGTGGGTCAAAAACTTGAATTTGTATTTAAATAGTATTTTAATAAAAAATCAATGGTGATGAAAAATTTTAATAGGGTATATGGGTAGAGTTTTATTCGTCTTTTCATTGTGAAGACATAGAAAAAAAAAATTATCTCAATCGAAATTAAAACGAAAAAGTTATGACGTTTTTAAGAATAGAAAAAATATTGTTCATTAACTTGACTTTGAGTTTAAAAACTTGAGTTGAACAGGAAATTTAAACTCGAATTTTAGCCCCAAACTCAAGTTAAAACTCAAGTTCAAACTCAAATTTTACAAACAAACATGAACTTAAATAAAATTATAACTTGAATTTAAACTTTTGTTGAGTTTTACTCTAAAAAATAAGTCCTTAGTCTCCTATATTTCTCATTATGAGAAAAGTTTTTTTTTTTTGGTCAATAAGATTTGGCCATAATATTAATAAATAAAAAAAGGAAAGTCACGATTTCCTTTTATATATATATATATATATATATATATATATATATATATATATGTGTAGTTTTTTTTGCGGGCGATAATATATTTGTCTCATATATATATATATATATATAATAAATAATAAAAGGATGTGGAACGTGCGGAGTACACATTCCCTCAAAAACAAAATAAATAAATAAAAAGGAGGAAAAAGTGGGTAAGTTTCCCACGTTTTTAAAGGTGGTTGCACGGAAACGTAAAAGAAGATGATTGAAAAAGATGTGTTTTTTACGAGAAAATACAGTAAAAAGAGTTTTCCAGAAAAAGGAAAAAAAAAAGGGCACGGGAGAAGAAAAAGAAAAATCAAAGAAAATATATTAAGTGTTATCACATACTTTTAAAAAAAGTGAGTGATAATTATATGTGATCTTCTTAATTCATTCATCTCATATGTTGAGAAATCTATTAGAACGCCCACTCGTTTAAGTTCACGTTGATTCGGAGATACATTGAGAAAGAATCGTGGTGTTCTTAGAATTTAAAGTTCAAGGTGGTGTTGGAGGAGTTCAAAATCAATGTCATAATCGAGCGACAGTAAAATTCTTCTTCTTCTCTTTAATATCTTAGTAGTTAAATTAATATGAAATAATGATTGCATTAAATTTTGATTTATGTGATTCAATTGATACTATGCTTCCACACAATTTTTTTTGAAAATCCGGTGTGAGAAACCAACAATTGGTATAGAGCGGTCTTTATTTCATGCTAATTTAATATATGATTGTGATAATTCATATATGTTTAATAGGTAGCCACGTATGCATATGATATATGATTCTTGTGTGATGGTTATGTGCTATGCGAATAGATTAGTCGTAAATTTTTCCGGTTCCACGGAATTAGTTTTTGCTATTTTATTTTGATCAGATCAATTGTAAAATAGGAATACATATGTAATTTATTATTTTTCAATGGCAAGAGGATCATCATGAAAAAATTTCAACTATTTTTTTTTTTTTTTGAAGAGTTCCAACTATTTTTTTTGGAATAGTTCCAAATTAAAAGAAAAAAAATTTTGGGTTAGCCGGTGACCGTACGGTCACTAGTGACTGCCACCGGCAGTCTCCGGTGAGCAAGGGCGGCTGTCCTTACTGCTGCTGCTGCTACTGCAACTGCACCAACAAGGCTTGATGTAACACCTTGAAGAATTAATTGAGATTAATTAAGGTAATTGAGATTATTAGTGTGCCTAATCTGATTTAATTAATTGAGTTTAAATAATTCCAAGGTATTTAAATTATTCACAGTAATTTATTTAATCCAGAAGTGTGTATGGGCGCATTTCTGGACTGTTATATTTTACACATGTCA